TACGTTAACACAGTATATTTGTTGTTAAAAGCAATTAAGATTTCTGGGCGAGTCATAGTTTTAACTTTTAACCTAATCTACAAATCTTACAGCAATTCGGTTATAGTGATAATTCTAGCACCATTTACTAAATCAACTAAGGTAATTTTTGGTAATAGAAGAAATTTTCAAAAGACTAAATGAGTGCCAGACTCTTACTGACTAAAAACATCCCCTTCCTTCTCCTGCTCCAGATCGAGTACCTTATTAAGCTTACCCCGCAACATCGGGTGAACATCGTCCCATCGTCCAGTCTATTCAACTAAGGCCCGAATGAGAAATTTTTAGGCCATCCATTCAAGCTGTCATGGGAATAGCTTTTTGATTGCGCCAATTCTATTGTACCATAACCCGGATACCGCAGCAAACTTTGTACTTCTAAGAGTTACGGGAAACCAAAAAAAAAATCTTGCGCAATTTACCCGACTGGGCAATCACACAACTGACCGTTTGACGAACGACGCAGTTTATAACATTATTACTATTATTTTCGATTCGAATCAACTAACTGTTTTCCTCAAAATACAAACGGTTCATGCATTTTTTTTTTATGTACTAGGTCGGCAAACGAGCTTATAGATTACCTGATACGAGTTACGAGTATGTTGCTGTCCTTTTGGGGATTCGGGATTTGGAGATTGAGGGATTGGGTGAGGGGATGGATTGGGCATCCGGTAACCTCACTCACATGGCGCAACATAACGCTGTGGTTGTTTCACGCCGGTTTTCTATGAGGCCGTGATCCGATCGAGCCGATCCATTCGTGCCGAAGCATAGCTCTACCACACTTTTTTTTGTCTATGGTACCTACACACGTTCTAACACAAATAATATTTATATTTAAAACCAGCAACCCGCCCCGGTTACGCACGGGTGCAATGCTGATACCAAATTATATCTACTTTTAAAGGATGTTATTATACATATTATTATAAATCTTCCTCTTGAATCACATTCACAGCATTTCCAGTAAGTCCAATGTCCTGGACGTATTTAGCAATTCTTTGGAGGATATCAAAGACATTATCTCCAAAAAATTGTTTGTGATTGTTTTTTTTTCTAATTAATTACGATTATAATTGTTTTTTTTTACCCTGTTCTAATTTTCATTACATTATTTAGTTTTTTTGGAAACTCAGTCTTTTTTTTAATTCTAATTAAATGGTGTTCGAATCTGTTATTCTTATTACGCATGATGTGATTACCTGTTAATAAGAAAGCATAGGGTATTTTAAATTGTGCTGTTCATATAAATTAATAATAATATTTATTTATTTGCTGTAAAAAGGTAGTATACCTACAAAAAAAAATCTTAAAACCTTTGACAAAGTACCATGTATAACATCAACCTGAACTAGCTGCAAAACTGTGTTTCAGGTAAAAAAAGTACAGACTTCTACTACAATATTATTCCTTATCAAACTAAACGAATAAAATATAACAATTAATTGAAATAATTAGTATCTAAGTGTTACAGGTGCGCGTGTACAATTACATAAACAGACGTCAGCTATTATTAAATTATTTGGTCTTTATTTGCTCAAGCAGTTCCTCAGTTTGTTCATATGTAGGGTGTGTACATAATTAGTTAATATTTTTTTACAGTGATAATGGTTATGGCTATAAAAAATTAATCCCCTATTTATTCTATTATATAAAAATAATCAATAAAAACGCAATACAGGCGGATTGCGTTTTTCTTTTTGGAAATCCAATTAAATAATTAAGTCTCTCCTACTAAAGAAACCGCATCAAAATCAGTTGCGCAGTTTTAATATTTTTTTATTTTTTTGTTAACACTAATAAAGGATTTAATTATTAATAAATTAATTGTATAGTTCCAATCCTCCTTAAAAAGTGTATAATCTATAAAAATATGATCAAGAAAAATAAGTAAGTAATTTGCGTTTCGAAAAATACTTAAACTTATCGGATATCGGCGATAAAAATTCATAATATTTAACATTAATTTCAAGATTAACCATGAAAAATTTATTGTTTTAGTTATATTTTTCTTTTTAACCGACTTCAAAAAAAGGAGGAGGTTCTCAATTCGATTGTATTTTTTTTTTTTTTTTTTTTTAATTTTTTTTTTTATGTTTGTTACCTCAGAACTCCGTCGTTTATGGACGGATTTGCAAAATTTTTTTTATGATTGAAAGGATATGCTTCCAGATTGGTCCCATTCTTTTCAAAATCAAGTTTTGATGATGGGATCCATGAGAAATCGAGGGAACTCCTCAAATATTATAGGCAACTATATAGTAATTTTAATATTTTCATAGAGCACTCAAGCATTTACAGTCAAAAAGTAATGTTTGATGAGGTGGAACTGGTGAAGAAGATCAGAAATGGATGATGAAACTTGACACTCGCATACATATCACAATCAAGGTAGTTCAGCAACTATAAAAAGCACTGTAAACCAATGATCTTAAATAATTATGTTGGAAATGTTATCATCGAACTGATTTAATGATGATTATGGAGCTCGAAGGTAGGCACTGGAACTGCGTACCTAATTAATATATCCTAGCCGTGTTTGGGCTTGTTAGAATTGTTATAAGATGCACTTTGGCTGTAAGGTACTATTGAACTGATGTGATGATGAAGCTGGAAGGTTGGCATGGGGCCTAGTATTGTGTAAGCTTATTAGAGCTGTCAAGAGCAATGGAAAGGGCTAAGTGACAGTGGGCACGGCACATTGCTCGCAGAACAGATGGCCGATGGGGCCGAAAGGTTCTAGAGCGGGACCGCACACCTTTGGGGGCGGAGTTTGGTCTAGTATTGGCTATTTTGCATTAGTCCACGTGGACTGCGTTTACACATTAGTGGTGAAATGCGTCATTGTGTTCTTATCGTTTTCCTGGTAATAGGCTAAGAGAATTAATTGGCATTTTTAACAAAACAGTCGTTTTAAATGGGTTACAAAACAATAATTGCGTCGTACAAAACAATAATTGTGTTTCTTTTGTGTGCACATATGTAGATAATACTTACTTAAAAAAGGTTCATACATTGAATGAGTCATAAATGTATATTTACAATAGCGATGGTCTTTTATATTTTTACCAACTTGTCTATATATGAATGTTCTTAGTAATAACAAAATAGTATTCTTCATTTAATGGGTTACAATATTGATACAAAACAATAATTGCATCGGTCTTTTTTCTATGTACGAATGTATTTAATCATAGATACTAAATTAGATTGCATTTGGTATCTTTGAACTTTATCTGTCTGTTGATGAAAATATCTAGTTTTTTGTTATTTGGCGAGAACTAATATGAATTTATGATAAGATTATTATTTTATTTTAACTATAAGTCATAAGTATCTCATGCATCATATCATCTCTCCTCGAGATCAAAACGATTACACAGTAACAATGTACTATGATATGTATTTCTACGTATAAGTATGACATTGGTAACTTTTTCAAAAGAAATGTAGGAACGATATTGACTTCTTTGCCATAACACATTATAATAAAAAAAAAAACACTAAACGGCTACAAATAAAAAAAAATTTTACAAAATAAAAAAACCGCCTTCAAAAAAAGTCAAGCAATAAAAGTTCCTACACTAAAAAGTAAAAAATAACAATTTGAATTACTGTAAAAAAACTTAATTTATAGGTAAACTTATTTGACATTAATATTTTGCAAATATTCAAAATTTATTACTTATTTTTGGAGTCGGTGCCAGCCCATGCAAGGAAATACAAATGGGCAACAATCCCTTGAAAAACTACCTCTTACTTAATTATGAAACTACTTAATACCTATTTGCATACTCAAATATAGGTATATTAATTAAGACATAAATACAGATTAGACTTCTCTACAAAAAATGTCCGATTTGCACATTTTTTTAAATAAAAAATATGTACTTACAAAAACATTTTAAGTACATTGAAAATGTTTAAGCATTATGTACGAAAAATGGCACCGGATATTAAAAACCTAACTAACATTAAGTTTCAACATCAAAATGCTGGCACCGACTCCAAAAATAAGTAATAAATTTTGAATATTTGCAAAATATTAATGTCAAATAAGTTTACCTATAAATTAAGTTTTTTTACAGTAATTCAAATTGTTATTTTTTACTTTTTAGTGTAGGAACTTTTATTGCTTGACTTTTTTTGAAGGCGGTTTTTTTATTTTGTAAAATTTTTTTTTTAGTTTCACGTGACTTTATTTCCATGTTATTTATTAGGAACATGTAATCTTAATCTTCTGGAAGCCAATAGTTAGCCAATAGTAGTTGCATTTAGAATGATTTGGTTTGCTCTGCCATAGCCCTTCTTCTTTATCGAACGTTCATCAATTTGTTCATACATGATCGTGAATTGCTTTTAATAATAAAGTCATCATTATAAATCTATCAAGTATAAAAAATAAGTCGGATTTTCCTTCCTGACGTCATAACTCTAGAACGCACGAACCGATTTCCACGGAATTTTATAGGCTCCGCGAGGTTTATCGCAAAGAAAATTCTACATTTTTTTTTTAATTTTATGTAGAATATTTCCGTCATTCATATTTTCTATGTAAGTTTTACGATTAAGGTTACACACGCGACGGAGACTTTCAAAAGGGAGTAACTTCTCCCGTTTTCCCAACATTTCACTTCACTGCTCTGCTCCTATTATTTGTAGCGTAAAAAGTATCCTATAATAAATAATTGTACCAAGTTTTGGTTAAATCCAACGAGTAGTTTTTTTTTTCTATAAGGAACATACAGACAGACAGACAGCATTTTTGGCATCAGGATCGATCACTTAATACCCCCTGGTAGTTATTTTGAAAATATATTTCATGTACAGAATTGATAACTCGACAGATTTATTATAAGTATAGATAGATAAATAAATTAGAGAAAGATAATTCTTGAAGAAATAAAATACAATAAAAATGGTGTGTACATTTTTTTGCACTGAAGTGTACAGGCAACGTCGGAGACGTCTTTGGAGAACATTTAATTGACACAAGATCAAACACGTCAAGGAAATGGTTGTGTTCTGTGCCTGAAGTGGTTTTGTAAAGTTGTGTTTAAAAATATGGAATTGAATTCGAATTATGTGAGTATACACATTATGTATTTTGTCTTATATTTTTATTTCCTGTGGTTTTTTATGTAGTGGTCCTTTTGGAATTTATAATTGTGTGTCCGATTTATTGAAAAGTTATTCGGTAGGTTGTGAAGAAAATGTAATAAGGTATCGCGGCCTAGGCCTGGAGCAGGAGATGTGAAGGGGTTTTTTTGTGAGGGGAAAAATATCAAATGACTTCTCCCACCTAGGAATAGGCGAGAAAGAGTGTCAGACTCTTACTGACTAAAAATCCCCTTGTTCCTTCTCCTGCTCTGGGCCGAGGCCGCGGTGACTTGTTGCGCTTAACTCGCAACCCCGGCTGAACATCAGCCCTATAGGACCCCGTCTGTGGTGGTCCATTGGTTCTTTGAGGCGCGCGCGGTAAACTACGCGCCGTACGCTCGGGACGCCTGACGCCTGAACCCTGTTGTAGTGACCCAGTAAGGTAAAAGCAGCGGGCTTTTACCTCTGGGCCTCATTCATGACGGTGAGGCTTCGAAACCTGGCAAGAACCAATCTAACTCCTTCCGATTTGTATGTACTTTATATGATTATTTAGATACCACTGACAACACGTGAGAAACGTGAAAGACAAACATCGTGAGGAAACCTGGACTTATACATAATTTCTATGTATCTATATCTCAAGTATGAGTTTGAAATCGCCAATCCACCTTAAGCAAGCGTGTTGATTAATGCTCAAATCTTCTCCATATGAGAAGAGGCCTATGTTGAGAAGTGACTGTGGGCATTTTTAGGTTGATGATGTGATGTGATCTCTGAAAAAAAGGTTACATTATTCGTAGCTGGACTATGGGCCTCCTTTATTTTTGTTATACTTTTTGACGGGAAATGAGCGTACAACTCACCTGATGATAAGCCACTGGGCCGCTCATGGGCACCTGCAACTCCAAAGAAAAGGAAAGCCAGATTTAAAACTTCATTCACACGACGAAAAAGAATGCTGTTGTTTCTGGTCAGTTTTTTGTTAAGCCGTTATGTTGTATACAGCCTAACAGACGGAAAAAGGCATTTGAATAATATGAAATGCTATAAACTTAACCACAAAGTTCCTTCTCTAGCTCAAGGCCGGGGATACAGTACATAATGGCGTTTGCATTTAAACCGCAACCTGGTCGATCAGCCGGGGTTGCGTGGTAAGCGCAATGAGGCACCGCGACCTGGGCCCAGAGCAGGAGAAGGAACAGGGGGTTTTTAGTCAGTAAGAGTCTGACACTACCTCCCGCCCGGCCCTGGGCGGGAGAAGTCATTTGATGATTTTCCCTCACAAAAAAACCCTGGTCGATATGTCCACAGTAGGACTGTAGGCTACCTCTATAAAAGAGAGGTTAGTTATTATGTTTCAAGCAGGTTACCGGGTTTGGATATCGCAGTTGAAAAGAATCAGTTTTATCAAAGAGCGCTGCCCGGTCGCAATCAAATACATAGTCTGATATTTTACTCTTAATAAATACATTTGCGGTAAGCATAAGGAAAGAATTTGCAGTAGGTACCTACATATAAAAAATCTTATGTTTTATTTTCATAGTGATAATTCGCTTTTATAGTTTTTTTTCAATGTCGTTGGGGCGTTAACAAACATGCAATATCACATGTATACGTAGTCCCAGATCAACAACTCGTGCCGGGATTGCGCATATACCGCAGCAGGTTCTCCTGCTCTTGCTGCACCTGCTGGTGAAGAAAAGGGAGGGGTTTTAGTCAGTGGATAAGAGACTGACACTTCCTTATCCACATTCAGAATGATATAAATTATTTGATTATATTCCACTCGAAAAAAAAAGATCAACAACTGGTGAAGTACACAGATTGTTGGTTGCGTTGTGGTGGCCTGGAGGATAAGGCGTCCACTTCTCATGCATGAACCTAAGGATCCAAAACCTGCCAATATGACTGTTTCTGAATTATATTGTACTTTCTAAAGTAATATAGACACCACTTACGTAATAAAAGAAAGTGTATCGGCCCTGCAAGGTGTGATGAGCATGCATGTTTATATTTTGTAGTGCCACGGCACATAGCCCAAGTCAGTCGTTGCCCGGCGCGTGTAGGTACTCTGTAAACGTATAGATCAGGTATGGAGGACCATTCTTTTATTTCCTGACCCACGAGAATCTCCGGACACACAGTGAAACTTATACCTGAACATTGAGCATTGCAGTAGTGAACTTATTTCTTTCAGAAACGATCATGAGGAAATCTGGAACCATCTTTATATAATTATTTAAAAATTTCGTGTCACATGTTTGTTCGCGATGGACTCCTAAACTACTAAACCGATTTTAAATTTGATTGGCATTTCTTGTGCATTTTGATCCAACTTGAAAGATATGTATTTACCTTAGCCACTGCATCGCGTGGCTGGGTCTGCTAGTTAATTATAAGTTTTTATGTCCATCCACCTTGAGAAGGCGTCGTGATTTAATGATTATTACTTCTCTGTTAAAGAAGAGGTATTTTTCAGCAGTAGGCACTTATAGGCTGATGATGATGATGACACGCAGTTGTTTCGTAAGGGTATTGAAAAAGCGCGCACCAGTAGTACTATTGTGTGTAACTGTAAGAAGGATACATATACTATTAAATACAATACATAAAATTAAATGTGTACGACGCATCTACAGCAGTTTCCTCTGGATTTAATAGTATTAACAATTAATTTATCATTAATGACTTTTATGATTAAAAAAATGTGTTTTCTAATGAATACTGATTTTATAAGTAGCAATTTAAAAAAAAAAATATCAATTATTATATTTTATTACAAACAGTTTAAAGTGAGAGAGAGCAATGCTTTTGCACGAATGTCCAATCAGTGCCACCCATGGACATCGAAAGATATTCGTTTTGGTAATAAGGGTTTCGGAGATTTACTTAGGGATTGGAGAGGGTTGGAGAGAAGGGGAATTTTTGAGCCTCCAGTAACATGGTGAAACACAGCGTGGTTTCATGTCGGTTTTCTGTGAGGCCGTATCAGTCCAGTCAAGCCGACCCAATTGTGCTGAATCATGGCTCTCCTAAACTCGCGAATAATAAACGGAACACCAGATGGTAAGCGATCAGTTTTGACCATGGACACTCAACACCAAAAGAGCCAAAAATGGGTTGCGGGCCTTAGGAGTAGGTACGCTCTTTTCTTCAAGGTCGTTATTATTGTATCATTTCTAATCTCAAAACTAAATAAACAAGAGAAACGCTTGTTTATAACCAGTTTCAATGTAATTTAATAAGAATATCTTGTTATCTTATTAACTTAGATATTTAAACACTAAGATACTTTATCTTCTGGATAAGGAAAATCTAATACTTTACCTCAAACTAAACTTGATTCGCAGTAATTACACTTTTTGAGTTACGCAAAACAACATCCTTATTTAACTAATATGAAATAAGCAAATCTTGTATGTATATGTAGGTACTTACCTCACAGAAAACCAGCGTAAAACAACCACAGCGTTGTGTTTCGCCGTGTGAGTGAGGTTACCGGAGGCCCAAACCTTCCCCACCCCCAATCCCTCCTCAATTCCTAATCCCTAAAAGGTCGGCAACGCACTCGTAACTCCTCCGCGCCGTTGCGGGTGTCCACGACGGGACGGCGATCTATAACATAAAAAAAATCACTACATAGTTTAAAACAAAGTCACTTTCTTTGTCCCTATATCTCTATGTACGCTGAAATCTTTAAAACTACACACGATTTTGATGCGGTTTTTTAATACATAGAAACGATACAGTAAATGAAGAGTAAATAAAGGTTTTATATGTATGGCGTGAAAAAGCCACAGCGTTGTGTTTCGCCGTGTAAGTGAGGTTACCGGAGTCCCAATCCTTACCCTCCCCCAATCCCCCGCCAATCCCTAAATCTCCAAATACCTAATCCCCAAAAGATTGGCAACGCACTCGTAACTCTTCTGTTGTTGCGGGTGTCCATGGGCGGCGCTGATTGCTTACCATCAGTTCGTCTACTCGTTTGCGACGCTTACGAGTATCACATAAAAAATGTTTTATTATATTCCTTAATATTTTAAAATAGCATCAGCATTACACCCGTGCTAAGCCGGGGAGGATCGCTTATAATATTATTATATACACGGAATCTCTGAAACTGCTCCAACGATATAGATGAAGTTTTGTACGTTAAAGGGTTTATCGAACTTGTTTTTTTAGAGAGAAGAAAATCATCAAATTACTTGATGGACTTTCAGACTCTTATTGACTAAAAACCACCCCGTACCATTTTACTGGATCCCCAATCTTGGGCACTTACCCCCGGTTTACGAAAGGCCGATCAATGATAAAATCAATTTCATCTCTTGTCAAGTCATCTGATTGGTTGAATGAATTATCAACAACTAATCAGATGACTTGACAAGAGATTTAACAGGAGATTAGCGTTGACAAGCCTTTCAGAAACGGGGTGTTAACGTGTTTTAAAAAAAATTTTGCCGCACTCTAGGATTTTTTCTTTGTCGTGGGTGCGGTTACAAACATGCAATTTCACATACACAAGCCACCCAGACCCGGAACAACCATTTGTAGATTACACAAAGAGTTGTTCCGTGCGGGAATCGAAACCGCGATACATTGTACGGCAGCCAGTTGCCCAGCAACCGCACCAACCGTGCAGTCAAAAAGTTTAATACACATAAAACTCACAACCGTGATGTTTGAGTTGAATGAATTCGACATTGATACACTAAATACAGTTAATGTCAATAACCCATAGAATGACTGCAATAAATCACTTCTTGACCTAAAATGATCAATGCATTTGTCTGTTAGAAGAAAAAGATTGATTTTAATAAATATATTTTCGTTTTTAATGAACTACTTTTTGTAAATCCTGAGCATCGGGGTGAGCGCAATGAGGCACCGCGGCCCTCGGCCCAGAGCTGGAGAAGGAACGGGAGGTTTTCAGTCAGTTACAGTCTGACACTCCCTCCCGCATGGAATGAGAGATTTTGAGCTGAGAAGTTATACAATGATTGACCCCATAAAAAAACCTAGTCATGTTTCACACCCCATTTTTATAAGGCCGTAGTTTCACTTCGGTTGTGTCGGTCGATTCCTACCGGTGAATCAATATCTCTTATGAATAAAGGATAATATTTTTTAATAAATACTATGTTTATGAAGTTGAATAAAAATGTATGTCACAGTCAAAAACAGATGACCTTGAGTTTTATAAGACAACAGAATAATAAAGAGCTCATTTATAATCAATTACTACATACTAAATTGTTTGATGAGTAGGTCATGAACTTCATGTTTAGTGGACAGATGTTTTGCAGGGTGTTTAAATTAGACATTGTTTTGCCAACACTTTTAAATAGTTCGGCGAACGAGCAAACGTATTACCTGATGGTAAGCAATCGGCGCTGACCTTGGGCATCCGTAACACTGAAGGAGTTATGAATGCATTGCCATCCTTTTGGGGATTCAGATTTCGGATATTTAAGGATTGAGGAAACGGAAGGACTGAAATTCCGGTAGTCTCACTCACACACCGGCAAACACAACGCTGTAGTTGTTTTACGTTGGTTTTCTAAATCTTACTTAGCTTATACTCCGGTCGAGCCGACCCATCCGAGCCGTGCTTTGCTCTTCAACACTTGCTTACCTTAACGCAAATAAAATGAATTATTATTGAGTAAAAACTCGGAATTTCATTTAAAACGCCGTGTTACAAGCAGAGCTAGAGGATCCAATCACGATAGTTATTTATTCACATCATAAATCATCAGCCTATAAGTCTGCTGAGTGAAGGCCTTTTCGCACATGGAGAAAGTTTAAGCATTAAGCAACACGCTTGCTCAAGTTACGTTGCTGATTTCAAACTTATAATTAGAAATAATTCATTTAAATTTCCTCAAGGTGTTTTCCTTTATGTGCCATTTGGCAGATGTGTTCACATAAACTCAGAAAGTATATTTAATTTTGAAAAAGTCGCATTGGGTCTTCCCCATCGATGAGATCATAGATTCAGAGCAGCGGGAGCCCAAACCACTCGGCCATTTGTTGCATATTTATTATTATTAAAATAGGTCAATTATTCCTTACTTCCAGGGCAATCACACAACCGCGGAAAGTCCTGACCCATCCACAAAGCACCCACCTCATATAGCAACAGACAGCAAGCCCAAATATGTGTTGCATTCAGAAAAGGATACATACGACTTTACTGCACAAAGATGTATTGAAAAACCCACAAAGTAAGTGCTTTTGTTGACAAAACAACAGCCTATCTGATACGCTGTGTGTGTGTTCAAGTGTGGGAGAGCCACGCTTCGGCACGTATGGGTCGGCTCGACCGGAGTGATACCACGGTCTCACAGAACACCGACGTGAAACAACCACATCGTTGTGTTTCGCTGTATGAGTGAGGTTACCGGAGGTCCAATTCTTCCCCTCCCTCGATCCCTCCCAATCCCTAAATCTTAAACCTTACCATCAGGTAGTCCGTCTGCACGTTTGCCGACCTATTCCATAAAAAAATGAAAAGTTAAAAACTTAAAAGACAAACTGCCACGCCAATTAATTTGTCCTCAAAAAATATAACCTAAATTTTTTTAGTAATAAATGATCACTATTTGGTATTCTAAAACATCAGTATCGAATTCAACATGAAGGTTGAATCGTTTAAGGATGAATATAGCAACAAAACAAATTGAAGTTAATATTGTATCGTCATTAATCATTTGCTGTATAGTAGCCATGCCATTGCAGAAATACGTCAAACATTTGACGAAATCAGGAGAATATAGAACTAAAGTCCAGAAAACCCCCCAACTTTGATAGCGTGGACAATTTTTTTTTCTAATGTGTTATGATGATGGGTCACCTGATGGTAACCAACCACCAGCGCTGTCCAAGGACACCGGCATCACTAGAAGCAAAAAGGTTGAAAGCACTAGAGCAGTAAGAGATTAGAGATTTGAAGATTTTAGGATTGGAGATGGAGGATTTGACGTTGAAAAGTGCCTGTGATGGTCTAATTGTATTAAACAATTTTGACTTTGACGGAAGAGAATTGGGCCTCAAGCAATCACAATAACACATGATCGTTGTATCACATGAGTTTCCTATCACTTCGGTCGAGCCATACCATTCTTGATCTCTGATGTAATAAAATGATCTTGGAAATGCACTTTTCGCGTCAATCAAAAAGTAATGAACGAATTTTTTGACTGCACGGTTGGTGCGTGGCTGGGCGACTGGTTGCCGTGCAACGTGTCGCGGGTTCGATTCCCGCACGGAACAACTCTTTGTGTGATCCAGAAATTGTTGTTCCGGTCTGGGTGTGATATGTGTATGTAAATTTTTATGTTCGTAAACGCACCTACGACACAAGATCTTTTTAACACAACTAACAAACAAACATTTGAATGCAATGAAAAGATGTAAAAATATACTTTCTTTATTTTTTCTAGTGCACTGGAATCTGTGGGACACTTAATAAAAGGATGCTTGGGAGGAGGTATTTTAGGTATTCACGAGGCTTATATGAAATGTGGCCTGTGGACTTCCTTAATAGTAACAATTATCTTCGGATTCTACATCGGTTATTGTGTACATGTAAGTATGTTTTTTAATAGGGGTAAAATAATGGCCATGGTATACCTGTTTCTAATGCATGAGGGTAACTTTTTCTGAGTTGTATGGACCAATGTACTTTCTAAGTTTATTTACAAACCGGGACTTTTAGGCCTTATTTACAGATGCGTTGGGGGTTATTTGTACATTGCAGCATCGAACCGCGTCATCGTTTATGCGAACAGAAACACGTGAGCAATATAAGAGGCAACACGCGCCGCTTCTCCGTAAATTAGACCTTATTCATTAGCGGAATTTTTATACAGCGGCGACGTCATGCTTATAAAGTACTTCCGCCCGAGGCTTCACCCGCGCAATCTATACTAATATTATAAATGCGAAAGTAACTCTGTCTGTCAGTCTGTATGGATGTCTTTTCCAATTTCTTTTAAATTTGGTACAGACATAGTTTGGATCTCTAGAGAGGACATAGAATAGTTTTTGATACCAAAAATCTGGAGGAATTCACTATACCACGCGAACAGAGTTGCGGAATAAGCTAGTTTGTTAATAAAAACTGGCCAATGTGTTGATCCAGGATACTAAAATATTACCTATCTTCATACCAAATTTCAACCAAATCGCTTCAGCCGTTTTTGCGTGAAAGAATAACAAACATACATCCATAAATTCTCAATAACTTTCATTATAATTTTTCAGTTATTAGTTAGTTCAGCGCAGACGTTATACCAAAGGCTACATCTTCCACACATGTCGTATCCCGACGTCGCGGAAGCAGCACTAGAAGTAGGACCCTTCCCTAGGCTAAAGAAATATAGTAAATGGTTCAGGTAATCACATCTAAATAATAACATCCAGTCAAACTTTTTTTAATCCGATGACGAACCAGGCCTAAATACCACCCCATTTTTTCGACTGCTCAAGGCTGAGACCGCGTTACAAAGCCGACTAAACATCGGCGCTGTTGGGCCCCAACTGTGGTGGTCTACTGGCTCGCGGTACGCTATGCAGAGTAGTTCCCTTGGGAAACAGCAATATGCTGGATTGCAGCTTTAAAAATTAATCTTTCCATTAACGACATTTTTGCATTTCAGATATACGGTAGACTTAGTAATATGCTTGGACCTCTTTGGAGCTTGCTGCGTCTACCAGATCATTATAGCAAAGACCATACAGCAAGTTGTGCACACTGACGCGGAATTAGAAGACCTATCCTATTTAAGACTTTATGTCTTAAGTCTTTTGGTGCCAATTCTCTTGCTTTGTATGATCAGAACATTGAAATATTTGGCACCGTTCACTTTAATCGCTGATGTGTTTATTGGTAAGTGTAATTCCATGATAATTTGACAGCAAATTATATGAAACTTCAAGCAAGAAGGCATTAAAACACATATTTACGTATGCATCACACCCAAACCTGGAATAAATATTTGTGGGTTGTTTTAGTTTTCAACACTGTTTATCAGCCTAATGACTCAGAGGACGATTGCCATAATTAATGTAGCTTTTACCCGCGACTCTGTTCGCGGGAAATAGTATAGGAATAAAAACTTATTTCAGATTTTTGGTATAAAAACTATCCTATGTCCTTTCTCGACTTTCAAACTGTGTCTGTAGCAAATTTTACACAAATAGGTTCAGTAGTTTAGGCGTGAAGAAAAGACAGACAGAGTTACTTTCGCATTCAAAATATTAGTTTAGATTGTCGAAATCCACAAAAAACAACATTTTATGCAAATCGGGACTCTGCTTAGCGATGATAAGGGTGCAAATTGTGTGAAAAGCAAGAAGGTTAGATCCTCCTTCACGTCTACCTGTTTGTACGAAAGCGCAATTCTCAAAAACTACGTAACAAATCTTGATAATGATGATGATGATGATAATGATTATAAATTTCCTCTATTTACAGTAACTTGTGTTGTGGCAACAATAGTCTACAGCCAACAGACTGCCCCAAAGATCTCAGAGGTGCCAGCGTGGAAGGATGTCATTGGATTTTTCGAGTTCTGTGGTATTGTAACGTTTAGTATGGAAGGCGTCGGCGTTTCCTTGCCTATTGAAAACAATATGAAGAATCCAAAACAATTTCCTATGGTTTTGTTTGCTGGTAAGTGATTATTAAGATTTAATGGCCTTTCGTATTTCTATAGCTAGGTTCTTGAATTTTTGAAAGACACTCTTAAGTACTAATTTGAAAGCCATAGGTTTCTAATTGAGATCTATAGCTTATTTTTGTGTTGCAAATAGATTAGGCGGTGAATTTCTAAGCAATCGACGTCGCCAACAGACACCCTCGATACAAGATTGTGATTTAGGGATACGGCATAACTGCACGCCCCAAACGTTCAATGCTACGCAATTCCTTTACAGTGCAAATTTCTTCGATGCAAATTTAGCTAAACGCTTTTGAGTTTGGATAATTTACAAGTGTAGGAAAGCCATAATTTAGTGCGATTGAAAAAAAAAAATTACAGCCACACAGAATACCAGTGTTAAACAACGCTTGTATTTCGCCGTGTGTCCCATCCTCAAATCCCTAATAACTTACAAAATACTAGCAATACACTTTTAACAACTTCTTTGGTATTATGAGTGTCTATGAGCGGCGCTGATTCATTACCACCGGGTATTCAGTTTGCTCGTTCAGCGACTTTTTCCTTTCTTCTATTTTATTGAAAATAAAACTATATTCTTCTCCTATTTTTTTAATAATTACTGTTGTATTTCTTTGCAAGGTATGACCGTGGTAGTCTCATTCTTGATTCTTGTTGGATTTTTCGGCTACTGGGGCTTCGGGGAGAAGTCAATATCACCAGTTACCTTAAATTTTCCGTCAGAAATGTGAGTATTTATTTTTTATAGTATTATTTTACTTTGACGCTGTGGTTGGGCAAGTGACTCATGCGTAGTTGGAACAAAAAATACCTTTTCTTTTGAGAATGCCTTCTCGCGCCTAGATGGGGCGAGAAGGAGTGCCAGACTATTAGTGACTAAAACTACTTCGTGCCTTCTCCTGTTTCGGACCAGGGTCCAGGGTCAGGTGTTATGGCAACGATAAATTTCTGAAACCACTATTCGTAGACCACACAAAGATACAAAAAACCACGCGACACCTTACAAAACAGCCTGTAGTCCAACCACTACGCCAACCTTGAAGTCTATAGTATAATAATAATTTTTCTTTTGCAGTTTCCCAACAATACTAAAAGTATTAATGGCGATTATGATATTTGTGACCTTCGCCCTCAATTTTTGGGCGCCATTCAACTTGGTCTGGCATTACGTGTCGAAGAAACACAACCCGAAAAGATATTGGATTTGGGAGAGAATATACAGGGCTACGTTTATTGTGATAATCACTGCTTTAGCTATTGCATTCCCGAATATAGGAAACCTCATGGGATTGGTAAATATTGCATTTTTTTTATGACATCACGCTTTTCATCCTAAAAAAAGGTGTGCACTGAATGGCTTTCATAGACACGTCGGTACTTTAGCACCCGATTTCCGTGTCATCGAGAGATGGCATAAATACCAGGAACAAATACAGACAGCATAGCATTTCTTTAAAAATTAAAAATCACACATTTTATCACTTAATCGATCCGGCAAATTAATTTTGGTCAGATTTTGTTTTGGGGTTGACAAAACAAAATCTGACCAAAATTAATTTAATATGATCTCTCAATCAATAATTTTAGGAAAATATCAAATAAACAGTATTTTTATACTACCTACTTAGCACACCTATTTTTTAAAACTAGAAATGAGCTAAACACCCTTTTTGTGGCCGCCGACTGTTCGTCAAAAGTTCAAAAACGCAAATAATATTGACATTACTAAATGACGACATGACAACTATTCAACCAACCGGCCATAATGTTAACGAGCTTCGTTAAAATACGTAGATACATGTTATGCTTAGATTATAAAACAAAAGCCTGTTGTTTTATAATCACTAGCTAGCCAGTTTTGTTATATTTCTATATTCCTATGACCTTATAGTATTTCAACTGACTTCTGATTCCTATTAGACCAAATTGACTAAATGAATATGTTTTTGTGCCGATATTTCATTAGACATTTCCATTTTCATTTATATTCCTTACTAACGGCCCACCCCCGCTCCGCACGGGTCCAACTATCTCGCTAACAATGAAAGGGTCCCATTTCCCCAATCTTCCCTTCTACTTTTAATATTTTCTTTTATAAGAACCTTCTCCTGACAATAACAAACACAACAAAAAAAGATTTAGCAAAATTGGTCCAGGCGTTGTTGAGTTATGCGCTTACCAACCCATTTTGCGATCCATTTTTATATATAAAGATATGTTAAAAGTTCCCTAAATAAATTAAATTTATTTTCTTTTTCAGCTCGGAGCATTCTGTCTATCGAACATAGGATTTATATTCCCAGCCATCATAGAATTGTTAGTTGTTTGGGAGACACCTGGATTGGGCAGATACAAATGGCGTCTATGGAAAAACGTCTTTGTTATAATAATTGGAATTTTTCTATTCGTAGCTGGTACTTATTCTAATGCAAAAGGATTAATATTAAATTTGTAAATAATAATTATGATTATATTTAAGTACTGATTTATTATGTCTTTGACCTTGGATTGCCTGCTCCTATTGGGTCTTTTATACAACCCCTGTAGGAGTCAAGGTTTTTTTTTGAGCCGGAAAATCATCATGACTGTTCTCGAGAGGGAGTGTCAGACTCTTACTGACTAAAAACCACCCCATTGCTTCTCCTGCTCTAGGCCGAGGATGCGGTAGATAATTAAGGTTGACCCACAATCCTGGCTAGTGGTCGACGCTGTAGATACATTGAATGTACACACAAAATAATTATGATTGAGTACTGAAGGTAGTTAGTCTTTCTTTGGTGTCTAAATGTCTGAATTGAGGTAGTTAATAGTCATACAAACTAATATTATAAATCCGAAAGTAACTGTCTGTCTGTCTTCTCTTCACGCCTAAAATACTGAACCGATTTCTGTGAAATTTTGTACAGTCATAGTTTGGAACTCGAGAAAGGACATAGTTTTTATACCAAAAATCTGGCAGGAAGTCACTATTCCATGCGGACGAAGTCGTGGGCAGAAGCTAGTGAATAATAAATAATGTGATATGACAGTTTTCAGTAATTTAGATTTTTGTAGTACACTTTACGCTGCCACTGAATTCCTTTTATTTGATAACCATGTTGAGACAGTTGGGATAAAATCCAAAATAGTGGAATAGCTGCCATCTTTAGCAGGCGGCCATCCGCCATCACCTAAAGTTATAAATGTCAAGGCTGTGGTTTCACAGACAGATCAACACGCAGACAGATAAACACACACTCCAAACTTTTGTCACCAAATCATTTTTGATCGAATTAAGAACGATGTTTTTTTTAAATTCTTGAATTAGGTAAGAAAGTTAAGAGGGGGTTAAAATTGAATGAGAATTTCTAAAATTTTAATTTTGAAATAAAAAAAAATGAAAATTCATATTTGGCTGTGTGGTAAAAAAATAAACGTGATAGGTATATTTTATTTTTAATGAGACTGCACGGCTGGTGCGGTAGCTGGGCAACCGGCTGCCGTGCAACGTGTCGCCGGTTCGATTTCCGCCTTGTGTGATCCACAAATTGTTGTTCCGGGTCTGGGTGTCATGAGTATGTGAAATTGTATGTTTGTAACCGCACCCACGACACAGGGAAAAAATACTAGTAAGAGAGGGTACACGTAAGGAGATGTGTGATGTGACGTTTAAAAAAAATTAAAGCTACTTTTAAATCAAAGGGGTTCAAATACACGTAGTCAATTTAGGGCTTGGCTTGGCTATTCGGTTAAGTATGATGAGCAATTAAAATAAAAAAAATCCAAAGCTTAATAACTGAGCTTAAAATATTATCTCCAAGCTGCACGTTGAAACGAAAGATCATCTTGTGCCTTCGTTTTGAATATGCGTAAGTCTTGAGATAACAATACACCAAATCTCCAATCTACAAATCGCTCATATCGTAACTTCGCAGGTGTTGTAGTTATTTATGGGCAACCCTGATTGCGTACCATCAAGTGAACCGATGCCGCGTGTCAAAAAAATAACCAGTCAGATATTAAGGAGATTTTAATTATAGGAAAAATCCATACGATATTACTAGCTCCATCAAGTCCTGCCATCATCTTTCAAGGTATTGATGTCGTTGAAGATTTACCTGATGCCATCTGGACATTGAATGAGGTTGATTCAGCATAGCCGTGAATCTGTGTAAGTGTCAGTGCCAGGAGATAATGTACTGTTATCGGGTAAAGTCTTACTCGCTTAAAAAAAAACACTTTTTATAAGAAATTAACAACATTACAAAACCTTATTGTGTCCGCCACGAGGTCCAAAGTAAGTGTGTCATTATAATAAATGAAATAAAATCTGTAATGTAACGTGTCGCATTCACGTGAGCAACGGGGATGCGGTGTCAGCGGTTTTATATTAATGTATGTTAGGGCTATCATAACTTATAACAGTACTCTATGTAAAGTTGGTAGAGCAACTATATTGTCTATTCTGTTTCATGGTGCGTAAATGATCATGGACTTCATGTTCAAATGCGAAGAATGAAAAAGAAAAAACAAATGTGTTGTTTCACGCCGTAAGTACTTTAGTCGAGCCGATCACTTTGCGCCGATGCATGTCTCTCCCAAACTACAGTTTCTTCACTTATTTGACTCTCTGATTATAATCTGTGCCTCATACTTTACCTAATATGACCTACATACAGGTTTTTGTGATGGCGAAGATCATTTCTCAACTCCGGATCGGGACCGTAGTACATTAGCAACCGGAAACCACTTATATAAGCTAAAAATTCACTTTTAAAATCTGATGTAATGTATTTTCGTTCAATTATATTATATATAAATTTCGCAAACGTGGGAGAGCCATGCTTTGAGAGGAATGGGTCGGCTTGAACTAAGTGATACCACGGCCTCGCAGAAAACCAGCGTGGTAGGTCTGAAAAGAGCTCGAGTGGCAACCACGGACCGAAAGACGAAGAGTGGGTAGACTTCCTGCAAGGTATACAGTTTTGTTGGACATTTTATACTTTTTATAATGTAAAATGTACCGTCTAAGCAATAATAAATAAATAAGGTGGTCTGACGACCTCGTCAGAGTCGAAGAAAGCCAATTGGTGATTTGTCATTCGGCATGGAGAACTAAGAGGGAGGTCGCTACTGATGATGATATCGAAATTATTTTGAATAACCGATCAATATAACCAACCTTCTTATTAATCTTTGTTTTGCATAAACTTTTCTAGAAGAGCTTTTTAGACATTTATTCAAACATCTTGTCAAAATAGTTTTTAGGTTTACTTTGATTACATATTTTGGAAGACTTTATATTAAAAATATGTTATTATAACTTTTTTTTACATTGTTTAAAAAATGGTGAGTTATAGATTCATTAGTTCGATGATTGCTTATAGTGGTGGTATAGCTGGTAGTCGTAGTATCTTCCGATGGACAGCGAATCGCCTAAATCTTGGATAGCCTCAATGGGATCCCAAGTCCTTAGCTAACCATAAAAATTATGGTAAATCTCAATCAGTACGTATGGCGGATCTCTATTTGAAGGGGACATCTTTAGTCAGTTAACATTTTCCAGAAGATGGCAGTAAACTTCAGTTCATAAACTCTATAATGGAGACATTTTTATTTTGTTCCAATAGGCAGTCGGCCGCAGAGGTAGTCGAGATTTTCGGAATCTAGCTACATCACAAGCAGAAGAAGATGCATACGATTATATCAAACATAGAACAAATATTAGATTTACCAGGTAAAATTGCTTTAGAAATTAATATCGGAACCGAATCGTGATACTTTTAGTACATGCACTATCCTAAATTATGACTATAGACTGAAGGACGAACAGCATTATATAGCTCCTCAGAAGAGGCCAAGAGAGCGACAAATGCCTTGTTCAGAAGCTGACATCTTTGGATGATAATGATGATAAAACTGATACCCAATTTGGTTTTAAGGCAAATATCTCGACTGGCTAGCTAGGTGCATCTAATCATAGAGTCAGCGCGGGTCTGCGGACTGCTAGCAAGAGTAGCTCGCCGCCCGACCAGAACCAAACCCGTGGGTGAGGCGCGCGCCTCCATGACCTAATAGGCCTTCAGAGATGAGGCTGATCTTGAGACCGCCACTCATAGCGGCTGGAGATCTTCACGCGATTCCCTATACTACAGAAGGTGTTAAGTAATTATTGTAGGAACGTTTTTCTAGATTCTGGTGATCAACTGGTTGTTTCTATTTCTTATTTTGTTTTATTTTTACAAAGTCACATACATTGTGTATGTGAATTTGTCAATATTATATATTTGCCACCCAGACCCGAACAACGATTTATGGATCACTCAGTGTTGTTCTGTGCAGGAATTGAAACCGCAACATTTTGCACAGCAGCCAGTTGCTTATACAATTAGAGGGAAGCAAATGTCCGATTTTTGTCTATAATTTTCAGTTTAGTTGGTTCCATTGCACATATTGTGAAAGGAGCTTTAGGAGGAGGTGTCCTCAGTTGTCATGTTGGCTACATGAAGGGTGGCGTACTGGTAGCAGTTCCCCTTAACTTGCTGTTCGGCATTTATATGGGGTACTGTCTTCACGTGAGTACACTACCTTAATACTAAAAACGCGCTAGTTGCCGGCTTTTTAAGAAGGAGTACGCTCGATTCTTGAAGGTTTGAAGGTCGTATCAGTTCGGGAATACCGCCGCCGGAAGATCATTCCATAGTTTTGCTGTGCGGGGCAGAAAGTTACGCGTGAATCGCACAGTTGTTGACTGACAGAATTTAACTAATAACCATTTTCTTTCGCATAAAATGACTGAATTGATTTCGATGGACATGATAGGAAGTGGCAGATTAGTCAGGAGTATCGGTGCCGCCCATTGACTGCAAAAGCACTAAATGAGTTGCAATTGCGTTGTTAGTCTTTGGGGCTGCCGGATTTGAGATTTGGGTGATTTGGGGGTTGGAAGTTGGGATTATTTATATAAGATATGTTTTACTGTGAGGATTGAGCCTTCAGTAACATCACTTCAGTGGTGAAACACAATGCAAGTGTTGTTTGGTCGCCCTAATAAAAAATCCTTATCTACTATTTTGAACTCAATTTTTCTAACAATTCTACTTAGTTAAATAGATATATTATGTTAATATTATTTCAGTTACTTGTTCAATCTACAACAATTATTTACAAACGGACGAGGATACCTCTTATGTCGTATGCGGATGTAGGAGAAGCTTCCTTGATGATGTGTTCGTTTCCAAAATTGACCAAGTTTTCAAAAATTTTCAGGTTGGTCATTCATTTGTTTTACATCACTTTTTTTAAAAAGGCGTCGCAGCCACCCATGGACATCCGCAACAGGGGGTCTACTCTTATTCTACGAAAAACGAACTTTCGATCGAAACTTCGCGTGTTTCCTACCACGGTTTCAATTCGTTCCGAAATTTCGTTCGAACGAAGACGTTTGACATTTAGAACCTACTCTAATCCTTATAAGCTCCGAACGAACTTTTGAATTTGACAGACGTATTTTCTGATTTTTTACTTCAAATTGACGAAACC